TTGTATTGTTTTAAAGTTTGCATTTATTTTGTCTGTTTTTGTAGTGTTCTAAATTCTGAAATTTTTTTCTGTGTTTGCTTTCTTTGATCTCCCTGTCAGTCTATTGAATAAATATCATTCTTTCCCAGGTAACTCTATTATCTTTTCTCACTTAGAAATGCTTTCTGGCTCTGAATCTTAGTATTTTGTTTGAGTCACTCTCTTTTGTGTCTTCATGTGAGCTAAAATTGCTGTTGTGTCTGAGATATTGTGGGATCATTGCATTTATATTTAATGATTGTATATTGGTATGTAAGGTTTTCATCAACTGTGAGTGTGGTTAGAGAATGGAAGTGTGTACACTGTTTGTGGTTGTGCAGCTCAGTGTAGGATGTTTGGCTGTTTGTGGTTGATGTCTGCCTTTTCTCTGATGATACAGGAGCTGGGATTAGCTCTTGTCCGGTTGTAGAGCTTCAGAAGTTATTGTTGTGGTTGAGCTGCTTGGGCAAGTTTATTGTGTTTGTTTGTGTGGACAAAGAGGAGAAAAAACACACCAGAAAACAAAACAGATTAAACAGAGAAAACAGAATATAATAATGGAGAGAAAAGATATTTTAAAAGGCAGCGACCAGAAAAAAAAAAAAAAAAATATATATATATATATATATATATACACACACAAAAGAAAAAAGGGACAGGAAAATAGATGTACAAGAGAAAAACTAAGAAAATAAAGATAAGATAAACACACACAAAACAGAGAAAATGAAAAGAGAAAGCAACTGGAGAGCTGTTGTTAAGTGCCGTGCAATTGGTTCCGACTCATGGTGGCACTATATAGGGTTTCTGAGGAGCTTGAATTGCCGACATTGCGATTCAAACCAACTTTGCAGTCCAGTGCATTAACCCACAGTGCCATTCCAGAAATTAAGGGGGGAAAAGAAGAAAGTGAAAATGAGAAACAGAAGAAAAAATAAAAACAAAGAGAGAAAGGATAAATATCAGGGGAGCTGAATGGGAAGAAAGAATAAACAAAAAAATGATGAAACAATGAAAGGCAAAATAAACAAACAAACAAGTGCTACTGATGAATCTAGAGAGGAGAAAACTTTAGGGGAACTCTTGAGGTGGGTGGAGGAGGAATGTTAACAGCTAAGTTCCCAACCCCAAATGGTCGCTGCCTTTTAAAATTTCTTTTCTCTCCTGTATGTCTAGGTGTTATCTATGTTTGAGGTACTCAATCTTAAAGTGGTTTGTGGAGGCCCTTCAGGTTGGTATACTCTCAGTATCTTTCAGAACCTAAGGGCAGAGTGGCTGATTAGGAAGATTCCTGCTAATTTAATTCTGAACTGGAGGCTCTGTGGGTTCTGTAGATCTGGAGCAGAGCCTGCCTGAATTCGGGCACTGAGGTGGTGCAGTGGGCTCAAACTGCATTCCTAAACAACAGGTTCTGCTCTGGAGATAAATGAGGGTGGGGGCTAGCCTCACCTCTAGTGCCCTCAAAAGTGTGGGAAAGGAGAAGGAATAGCACCTTTTCTGTCATCCGTGTGAATCTGTGCCGTTAGCTCACCATCTGTCTCTCCAAATATGCTCCCGAAAGTAAGGTCACTGTGCTGTGGCTGGCTGGCAGTTCATTCACCAGTCAGTCTCCTCATCTCATTAAGTATTCAGTTCACTTCTCTGACCTTTTCTCTGAAGTTCGGTGTTCCAGGACTGTCCTCTGTGTCTGCTTCATTTTCATTTGGTCTCCCATGTCTTTGTTTTAGAGGGTCTGTGTAGTGTGCCATCTTGTCGGAAGTCCCTAGCAAATCTCTCTCAAAAGATTCTTTCACTGGACTTTTTTTTGTTTTACTTTTTATTGGCACTCTTGATCTGATGTTATGTATATATTTTCATCCCTACACTATTCTAATGACTTTAATACTGGCAGAAGCTAGGAAAATACATGAAATATTTAGAATGAATTTTATTATATTTTTGAAAATACTATTTTTTTAAATACTAAAAATTGGCAATCTGAAGTTATGCTTATAATGAGTCAACTGGTTATCTCAGGGATTATAGGATACATAGTCATCATTATCTTTTGCATGTAAGTGCTCAGTAGAAGTGTTACTAGTTGATCACAAACTCTAACTTCTGTAAAACCTGTAGTTATGAACCATTTCCTGTAAAACTTATTGTATTAAAAATCCAAGGTGCATACAATGGTTCATAATAACAAGGGGGCACTACTTTGTGATCTGCATCAAAACATTATTATTGCTATTGTTGTTAAGTGCTGACGGGTTGATTCCGACCCATAGCAGCCCAGTATAGGGTTTCCAAGGAGCAGCTGGTGAGTTTGAACCACTGACTTTGCATTTCAAACAGCTTTGCAGTCTGCTGATACATTAGCCCACAGGGTCTATATTGTTATGGAGTCCTGCTGTGGCATTGCGGACTAATGTATTGGACTGCAAGGTCGGTGTGAACCACATTGTTGGTGGTTCAAGCTCACCAGCCACTCCTTGGAAACCCTATACAGGGTTGCTGTGTGTCAGAACCTCCTCGACAACACATAACAACAACAACAATATTGTTAAAGCTGTTTTAGAATATCTGAAAGTATTTAATTTTTTTTTTTTATGTATAGAAAGCTGTGTTGTTGTTAGGTGCCATCGGGTTGGTACTGACCCATAGCGACCTTATGCACAGCAGAATGAAACACTGCCCGATCCTGGGCCAACCTCATTACTGTTGCCACACTTGAGTCCATCGATGCTGCCATTTGGCCATTCCATCTTGTAGGTGTCTTTCTCTTTTTCTCTGACCCTCCACCTTACCAAACATGATATATCCTTCTCCAGTGACCGGCCCCTTCTGACAATATGTCCAAAATATGAGAGACGAAGTTTGGCCATCTTGGCCTCCAAGGAGCACTCTGGCTGCACTTCTTCCAACACAGATCTGTTGGTTCTTTTGGCAGCCCATGGGGCACTTTCAGTATTCTCCTCCAACACCACAACTCAAAGGCATCAATTCTTCTACTGTCTTCCTTATTCACTGTCCAGCTTTCACATGCATATGAGGTTATGGAAAATATGATGGCTTGGGTCAGGCGCACCTTAGTCCTCAAGCTGACATCTTTGCTCTTCAACACTTTAAAAAAAAGCTTTGGTATATATTAAATACTAAGACAAATATTTGTTTAACTAGTGTTAGATACGAACCAAACCTAATAGTTTTGACTTAATACAAATTTGACTTATATACAATTTTAAGAGCAGAACTGATTCATAATCCAAGGACTGACTGTTGTTGTTGTTGTTGTTAAGTGCCTTTGAGTCGGTTCTGACCCATAGCGACCCTAAACAGGGTTTCCGAAGAGCAACTGGTGAGTTTGAACTGCCGACCTTGCAGTTCAAATGGATTTTGCAGTCCAGCACATTAACCCACAGCGCCATACCAGGACTCCATATTTATTATTGGACAGCACTAATTTATACAGGAGTTCTGGTATGACACTGTAGGATAAGCATTGGACTCCTAATCACAAGGTTGGTGGTTCAAACTCAGCTGCTCCTCAGAAACCCTACATAGGATCACTATGAGTTGGAACTGACTAAGAGGTACTTAAAAAAACAACAATCTAGACAGGGTTATATGAATTGGAATCAACAATAGAAAGGAAATAACAATTTTAGGAGATTGTGCAGTATGCGTATATTGTATATTACTGGATACTTTATCGTTTCTTGTATTTTTTATCATGTCATTATTATCAATAATAAGGGCTACATCATTTTCTTCTTTGTCTACAGCTTGTCTTTTGCTGGGTACATAGGAACTTGGTTGAACAAACAAGAGTTAGTAAGACATCAAATAAATTTATAAATCTTAAGATTTGCATTTTATGAATACAGGTCAGTGATTCCTAGATTTATTATACTATTTGTATTAATGATATAAAATCACTAAGCACTCTGGACTTCATGAAAAGAGAGGAAGTGGGTGCTGGTGGCCAGGAGGCAGGCTTGTAGAATGTGCCCTTTGTTGTTTAAATTAGTATATATTCCTGACTATTTCTGTGTGTTGGCCCTCCCCCCCCAAACAACAACAACAACAAAAAAAAAAACCCCAGAGTGACTGGAAGCAAATACTGTTGAATTATGATGCGCGGAAGAGATTGTAATCATTGCAATGAAACAGTGGTGTAAAGCCGATGTTCTCCTGTATAAACTTATCACTCAATTCACAATAAAAACTTAAAAAAAAAAAAATCACTAAGCAGCCAGATTAGTCATATCATTTTAGAAAGCATAAGAGTAAGGTAACTAACATCTAGTCTTATTTGTACTAGCCTCTAAATGGTTATTTTAGATCCTTCATTTAATTATTACGTTAACCCTATGAGAGAAGTCCTGGTGTGGTGCTGTAGGATAAGCACTTGACTGCTTACCACAGGAGTGTTGGTTCAGACTCACCAGGCAGTCCTTGGAAACCGTATACATGAAACCCTTTACAGTATGAATCAGAACCGACTTGACATTTAACAATAACTCGATGAGTAAAGTATTAAAACAATACGTTTTCCAGTTTTCCCCAAATTCAAACCTTAGGCTCTTTCTATTATAGCTTACTATCTTATTTAAAGATAACCAGAGGCTTTCTGCTCCCACAAATATTTAAAGCCTCAGAAACCCTATATAGGGTCACTATGAGTCAGAATTGACTTGAAGACACTTAACAAGTTAACAATAGTTAAGCTGATATTAAGTAAGTGAAGAATAATCATTAGAATAAAATGTAAATGGAATATGTTTGACAAGTTTATTTTGTATATATTCTATATGTCATATTCTTTATGAATGAAAAATTGAAAATCTTTATTTTGTACAACCTGAGAGAGTAAAAAAAAGACATATTTGTTTCTCATTTTGATTTTCTTGTGTATTGTAATTCCAGAAATTATACAGTAGCTCTTGGAGAAAAATAGATTGTAATAGTTTAAAATCATATACCCTTTTGTTGTCTTTCAGATAAAATCAAAGACAAAATCAAAGAGAGAGACAAAGACAAAGAAAAAGAAAAAGAGAGAGAGAAGAAGAAGCATAAAGTAATGAATGAGATCAAGAAAGAGAATGGAGAAGTAAAAATTTTGTTGAAAGGTAAGTGTATATTCAGTGATTTGCTTGTTATACATTGCTTAGTATACTTAGTGACGTCAATGATTAAAATAAATGTTATTTGGTGCTGAGATTTTGCTGAGAATAGGTATGAATGGCCAGGAAGTGAAAAGTAATTAGGTAGTTGTAGGTTCTAATCTATGTGATAACATATCTTTAATATGTTTATCTAGTGAGCCATTTTGAAAGTAAAGGCTTAAAAAAAAAATTGAGTCAATTCTGACTCATATAGAATAGGGTAGAACTGTCCATAGAGTTTCCAAGGCACATCTTTCTCACATAGAGTGTCTAGTGGGCTCGAACCACAGCTTTTGATTAGCTAACTAGTGCTTAGCTACTGCACCACCAGGGCATTTTAAAATAAAGATTAAGCTTCATTAAACGATTGTATTCTTTAGATAATTTTAAAATAATTATTGAATTCCATGTTTGTATTACTAGTTATTATCTGTGTTTAGATAATCTACAATAAAAGGTGAAAGCAATTTTAAGTGTGATGAGAATGTTAAAATTACTGATCTTCTTACAAATATGTAACATTAATCATATCATGGTCTGAGATTTAGGGGGGACCATTTTACTTTGAGCTAAATCTAGAAGGGGTACTGTTTTTTGTTTTTGTGTTGCTTTTGTACTCAAAAAAACAAAACAAAAACTTGTTATTCTTAATTAGGTGAAGGTTTTTAGAGCAGATCATCAGTTTTACAGACAACAATTTCATACATATTTTATTTTCTCTCATTGATTACAGTCCTCTCAATGTAATATCATTTATCCCACTTCCTCCTTGTGTTTCATGTTTCCATTCCTCATTTTCCAACCATCTGAACTTTGCCCTTGGCTAACTGCTGCCCTTTTCATCTCAAATGGTTGACTATTCTATGGTGTACATACCTCCCTAGTGTTATGGCTCCTCTAATAGAGTTATCTGTTGTTTGGCCAAAAATTGAGCCAAGCGGCTAAGTTCAGTTCCAGACTTATTTTGAATTTTCTTTCCCTTTTCCTTCCACTGTCAGGACTTTTTTTTTTTTTTTAATTATTTTTTAAACAGACAAGATCATCAACTTTGCTTTGAACCAGTAATACATTTTGTTTCATCTCAATGATTACAATCCTCTCCTTGCAACAACTGTTATCTTGCTTCCTCCCTTTGACTTCCCCTTTACATCTTATATTTCACAAATGATCAAGCAAAAATATATGATATATATACATAAAACAAAAAATATATATTCATTTAAATGTCCAAAGGGCCCATTTTGCAAGCCAGACTTCTGCCCGCAGGCACACAGGCTTTCTCGTGGGCCTTGAGTCCCCGCCTGCTCTCTCTCTCCATGCCATCGCCTCTGCCACTGTCTTTGCTGTCACCGCTTTTCTAGGTAGGATCTCACGTTTCACTCATGCTCTTTCTTCTTATGGTCTTGGGAATCTTCTGTTCCTGAAATGAAAGATTAACTACTCACCCCTTTAGTAACACATCTTCTACAATTAGAGTTCTGACAATCAGTTAGTCCTACTAACAATTGCTCTCAATTGAATCATAAAATCCTACCAGCATCATCCCTCATGCCTTTCACCAGATCCATCTGGAAAAGAAGAAAATGATTTTGTGGAGGTTCTACCTTACTACCTTTGTTCTAAAACTAATCACAGTCATGAAAGCTTGTAAGCTAGCCGATGAGATTAGTGCTTTTATAACCATTTTTGATAGACAATGAAGGGATACTGTTGAACTGTGTTTCTTGCATACTTAAGAATAGCCTCGTTTTGTTTCCTATTATATCCCTATTACAGGTATATTCAGTTATTGGTATTCTTGTAGAAGGAAGGAGAACTTGAAGGGTGGGTGATTAAGTAATAGATACAATGTAAATTCTATTTTTAAAAATCAGAACTTCACTAGAATTTGTGGTAGAATAGTAGTGACATTCTTCCCTCTTGAAGGTCTTGGGATCTTCTGTTCCTGAAATGAGAGCTTAAAATTCACTTGAATAGCAAGGTAAGAAGAATCAGTGACATTAGGTTATTAAAAAGGCAGAAAACTCATTAGTTGTTATATCAAATTAGCAATTGTTGATCAAATGAACCACTTTACCTTGATATTAATTTTGTACTGAATTTATGTGTTGAAAGACTTTATATCTATATAAGGTAGAAAAGGTCATACTGCATATGCAATGAAATAACTGATTAATTTATATTAAGATAAACAGTATTAGGCTCCATTTTCATTTCATTGTCATTTTCTGTTCTTTGGTGGCTTTTTATATAAGCTCTGTTTTCTACTTTCCAGAAATTTATTTTTTATGATAATTCTTTCAACCTTGAAGAATATAGCAAGGTTTAAGTTGATGACTACTTAGTTAATGCTCATGATCCTTTTGTTCTATTTCCTTGGCCAGTATGCTTTAGCAGTTTTGTCTAATTAGATTATAAGCCTCTGAGGCAGGAATCATATTTAACTATACTAGTGTGCTATATGAGAAGCTAATGATTACTGTTTAAAATGCTTACTTAACTTTAACCTGTTGATTTAGTTAAACAGACACTTTTTTACTCATCCACTAACTGTACAGAGATGCAAATTCCTGACACTTGAGAAAGAATCTCTTAGGTCATAGGAATAGTTGATAAAAATTCATATGTTCTTGATTGAGAGCTAGATTAATGTGAAATATGTGAATCTAGAGAATACACATGCAAATAAAATAAAAAGCCTTAAAAATGGACATTTACTGGTAATTTACAGTACTAACCTCATGGTGCTGTAGGATTAGCACTGGACTGCAAACAACAAGGTTGCCAGTTCAAAGTCTCTAGCTGTTCCTTGGAAACCCTATACAGGGGTGCTTTGAGTTGGAACCAACTCCATGGCACTTAACAATGACAACAGCCTTGATACAGAAGTAGATGAAAAAATTTAAGAGATATTTTAAACCAATCTTAACTGAAACCCAGTGATTATAAAGGAAAAAAGCATTACATAGTTGTGGAAATTTAGTTTGTGATTTCTAGGATGACCATGAGTTGTGAAGATTAAATAAGGTAAAGAACGGGGTAAGTTTTTGACCCACAGGTAGTAAGTGGATATGAATCTTTTTTTTTTTTTTTTTAAGTTTTTGTTGTGAATTGAGTGATAGTTTACATGTGGGAACATTAATTTTACATTCATGGTTTCATTGCAATGATTACAATCCCCTCTGTGCATCATCATTCAACAGTATTTGCTTCTATTCCCTCTCTGTTTTTGTTTTTGTGTGTGGGAGGAGGATATGCACAAAAACACTCAGGAATATATAATCATTTAAATAACCAAAGGACACATTCTGCAAGTATGCCTCCTGGCCTCCAGCACCTGGCTGCCAGCGTACAGCATTTCTTTTTTCATGAGTCTTGAGTCCTCAGCTGCTCTCTCTCTCCATTCCCTCATCTCTGTCTTCATCTCTGGTGTCGCTGCTTCTCTGGATAGGGTCCCACAAAGAATCCTTTTCATAATGTGTAAAATACAAAAATGAAATCTTATGGTTAAAAAACAACATTGAAACTTTCTCCTCTTCACCATGGTTAGTATATAGTTAATTAAAAGAATAAAAACATGATTAATCAGGAAAATGATACCTGTCCTATGTAAGCACTGAGTGTTAGTCATTGTTACTATCCAGCAAAAATAATTTGTTTTCCTTCTTTAGCCATTTCTCAAGTAAGCCTATGATTGTTGTTGTTGTTGTTAAGTGCCGTCGAGTAGATTCCAACCCTATACCCTGTATAGGGTTTCCTAGGTGCAGCTGGTGAGCTTGAAGCACTGACCTTGCAGTTCAAACGGCTTTGCAGTCTGGTGCATTAACCTACAGTGCCACACCAGGACTCCTATGATTAGGGATAGACAGTCTTTGTTACCTGTGTTGAAGAGCAATAAAAGAATTTGACAGGGATAGCATACTATTATTTATTACTGTGTGCCACTTTTTCCTTTATGACTTTCAACTTAATTCTCAGCTTATTGTAATTTTCTCTTGATAATGTTTCAAACTATTGACACACACAGGCGCTGATTGATGATGCATATGAAAGTTTTAAATAAATGCTAACACTTATTTCATACCAATCTCATTTTTTCCAAGTTTTCCTTAAAAGCAATGTCAACTTTAGTAGTGCTAAAAATACATAACACAGTTATATACATGCTAAAAATTGTTTATTCGTATTGTAAAAGTCTTGTTTCTCACTGACAAAACAGGATTGCTTGCCTTATTAAAATAATTATTTAAGGGAACAAATAAATTTTAAAATATAAACTTATTTAGTAGTTATTCTTGTCTTTTTATGTCTGATGTTTGCTAATTACTGAGCTCATGTATTTTACGTTGTTTATTAATGATAAGGTTTAAGAACATACATGTTATAATTACAGTGTTTTTTGGGGGGGGTACATTTTATGCTGATTTGGGTGAAAGTTTACAGAGCATATTAGTTTTCCAATCAACAATTTATATACATTTTGCTTCATGACATTAGTTGTATTCCCCTCAATGTAACAGCACTCTTTTTTAAGTTCCTCACTGGGTTTCCCATTTTCATTTGTCTATCTTTTCTGTGCCTTCTGAACTTTGCTTTGGGGCAAATGTTACCCATTTGGTTTCATATGGTTGATTGGTCTGAAGAGCACATTCCTCACAGGAGTGAGTAAGTGCTCACTTTATGGGCCTGTTTATTGTGTGGCTGAAAAGTGACTTCCTGGAGTGGGGTCAGTTGCAGGTTTGATCGTAGTCTTGGGAACTCACACCGTTCTATCAGACCATTAAGCCTGGTCTTTTTCCTGATTTTGAATTTTATTATGCATTTTTCTCCCATTTCTATCCAGAACCTTGTATTGCGATTAAGATCCTGATCAGACCTGGTGATTGCAGTATTTTTAGAGTAAATTTTATCATAATAGCATATCAAAAAAGCTTGCTGGTCAGCAGATAGAATGGGAGTTAAAA